GGTAACCTCAGATTTACAGATCCTTTTCAGACGCTGTGTTCTTGGCTTCGTGGTATAAAAGACAGGAAAAAAGTTCTAGGCCTGTACAATCTTTTCTTTGCCTCCTGGCTTTAACACTGCCGTCATGGTCTTTTTAAAACCAGTTGTCTGTTATATTTGAACCAAAGAATTATGTTTCTCTGTTGATTTTGAGCCAGTTTGATCTGGCTTGTGGTTCTTCATAATGGTGAATAGTATTAGGTCAGGATCGAAGTTCCAAAGCTGTCATACAGCAGAGAGGAAAAGACCTATTTTATAGATCCACTGCTTGTTCCTGGCTTAATAAATTATTATTGCCATGAATGAATGTTCAGTTTGTCCAAATGACTTCAAATATTCCAAAGAGAGAAGTTCCATAGTTCTGAAGCGATGACCAAAATATTTTCCCCCTGTTGTTATTGTGCAAACCTGCTGCATAGCCTAGACCAGGTCAACACAGCGTACAGCTTGTGGGCCACATGTGGTCTGCCAAGCAGTTTTGTGTAGCCCAACAACATTTTTTTTTTAAATAGTAAATTTACAGCCATTGCTGCCTAGCACCTCCAAGCCTTGCTGCTCTTCTAGCCACAGAACAGCTGATCAGCACTCCAGGTATTTCTTTGCAGCCCACAAGGATTTTTAATTTATCAATGTGGCCATTTCCCCTTGATAAGTTCTGCAGGAGTGTTCTAGACTTTAGTTCGTGAGTGACTTGTCCAGAGAAAATGTGTCCTTTGGGTAGGACAGAGTCAGAATTTAAAATGTTTTTATGTTTGTATTTCTGTGGTTGAATTTCTGGGATTTGTGGGTTTGGGTCCATTAGCCAATACCATGCAATTCCCCTAGCTCTTTCTGAAGCTATTCCCTAAATGACAGGAGTTCAGAGAGTTTGTGCTTAGTCTAGTTCTTAACTGTGTCTCTGTTTCCCAACAAGGAGCCCACCCATCTCTCGCTTCCTGCCTCTTCCAGTCTCTGCCAAAACCACCTACATTCTTTAATCTCTGAACCCTGTGTATTTTCTTTGTCTGTCCCTTGTGGCACTGGCCAGCTGGCTATTCTATACAGAATTCTCTATATGTGTCCTTGGAAGGGTGACCAGTGCTTGAATAACCCAGTCCTTTGTGTTCTCTCTGGATGGAAGTGACTGTTTGTTCTGTGTGATATATATATTTTTTAACTTCTAAGCTGAGAGGAAGAAGTTATAATGGGTAGAAAAGGACTTTTGATGACTACAATTGTCCATGTAAGGGACATTATGTTAAATTTAGTCTGCCTATTTTTAAAGCAGCCACAGAACACATAGTTAAAACTGTTTGATTTAGAAAAAAAGAATATGCAAACTGTTCCAATGGGTCCAGGGCTACTTTATTTTGGAATAATCCTTTGTTTTTATTTACATTTATAATTTTTAATCTTTGTCAGGATGGAAACCTATAATCTATCTGAAACCGTCATTCTAAATTTAAATAACAAAGAAATAAAAAACACATGTATATGAAAAATAATATGCTCCTATATGACCCTACCATACATGAGATCCCCTTTTCTTAAACAAAGCAAAGTATGACCTCTGCACGCTTGCTGTGAAGAACATAACTGCAGCGTTTAGCCAACCATGTCTGATCCCAAAAAGCTAAGCAGGGTCAGACATCAGTAGTACTTGGAAAGGAGACCACCAGGAAATCAGGATTGTAGGATAAATCAGAAAAGGGCAGTGGCAAGCTCCTTCTGTACTGTGGCTAAGAAAACTGCATGGCTGCATCTGTGCTATTGCCAGGAATCAAGATCAACTGGAAGGACACTTTATTATTTTAATTACCACTTAAGATTTAGCCAGGAGGAAAGAGGCATCAGATGAAATCATCTGCCTCTCAATAGCCTTAAGGTACGACATTCTCCTCTCCAATTTTCATTCTTTTCTGTCGGTTATTTATTCCAATATATGTTATGAAAAATCTTCACTTTGTGCTCTAAATGTATAAATAAATGTTAACGATGTACTTAGCAGATATTGGAGCCATTGTTAGATACCAATCTAGAATATTTATAGTGATGTCCACAAATTGTCTTAATTTGTGGCAGAACCAAAAAGAGTTATTTTCCAGAAGTTTCCTCCATCAGAGATAAGCAGAAGACTTCAATCTCAGGGCGATTTGCAGTGTATTGGCAAGACACTGAATCCCTGTTACCTCTTCTCTAAATTAGGATGCGAGTTAGAAAAAGTTTGAGCTCTGTTCTGAAATTCCTGGGTTGAGTAAATGCTCAGAAGTGCCTTTCTGCCTTAAGTTGTAGAAGTATGGTTTCCACCTCCTTAGCTGCTCTTTTGGTGGTTAAGATGCCGATAAGGTCCTTGTGTGTTCTTTACATAATAGGTTACAAATATTCTATCTTCTCTGGATTCTGGACTTCCTTGGGATTCTGAGAAGATAATAGTGTGCCTTCTCAAACAATTCTGTCTGTAAACTTAGAAGAGGCATTCAGACGCCTGCCACCCACAAATGTGATTAAATTTGAGTGAAATCTTTCAGTCTTTTCCTCCTCTTGCTGTCACATGCAGTAGAGCACTTTGTGCAAACACTACAGGCAAACTCTGAATGATTCAGTCCAGCAACATGAATTCTCAAACCTTCCCATTACTGTAAAATGTAAACATTTGTCAGAAAACAGTATTCTGCTTTCCTGCTCATTGTCCAAGATCTTAGAATTTTCGTAACACTTCTAATACTGCTACTTTGGTCACCTAATCAGCCTTCCCAAACCCGATGTGGCCTACAGAAGCTTTGCTGGCTGTGTACCATGGGAGATTAAATCTGGTGCATCCAAAGAGCACCAAGTTGAGAACTGTTAACCTAATCTTAATTCCTCTTTCCTAGTTTATTTGTGCTTTACTCAGCAGCTTTATGAAAAGATTATAGTTATACTTAAGTGGTCTTCCCGTGGGAATAACGGCTCCTGGCCCAGCCTTGGAGGTTAAAGTTGAATTTGGTTAAAATGAATTATGTTTGCTGGGAGAAAAGACAGAAGGCAGTATTTTTGCATGGTAAGAAAGAAGAAAATAAACAGCATCAAGACTTCAGAAATCTGTACACTAGACAGGGAAGTTCAAAAACCATCCCAGAAGAAGGCTGTGGCAAATAACTTTCATATTATTGCCAAGAAAATTGCACGGGCTTTGGATTCTCCGTGCCCTTACTGTGGCTAAAAGACTGATATTGTAGCATTGGAAAGATAAGTGTGTGGCCCCAGTTAGTCAATGGATTGAAGACCTGTTTGCACTTGCCACCTATGAGCGGATTGCCTATAGATGCAGACTTTG